GTAGTGAAAGTCATTTTTTGGAAGTAATTTTTTTCCTCAAGAACCAGAAAAACTCACTGCTTTAAACTCTTCCTTTCATAAACAGAATTCTGTATCTTGGATACAAGGGTAACAAAAGCCTCTGATCAACCAACAGACAGGAGAGCTCACCTGAAGTCAGTTGGACATTCAAGATTTTTACATTTTAGAAACAGAATGTGAAGTGATTCTAATACACCTGTGAAGAAAGTGAGATCATTCTCAAAAAGAGAAGCACAGGATATTATTGTCAGCTAGGAACAAACAACTGAGCAAATTACCAGAGGGGGAATAATTGGCAATGTGTAGCTAAGCAAAAGGGCAGCAGAGGATTATAGAGGACCGCAAGTTACACACAAGTCAATACTTCCCTCTGTTTTGGCAACAGCAACATACAGAGCTACATTAGAGTGAAGGCTACAAGACAGGAAAAGTAACCCTTCCACCCTGATCAATGCTGTTAAAATCAGATCTAGCACTCTGCATGTAGTTTTAAGTAACATACTTCAAAACAGATCACTCTTAAACGGCAGCAAGGAAGACTTCCCTGACGCTTGGAAACAACACATGGAAACAACATAGGGGAAATGATTCTATGAGTAGGAATATCGTATCACTTGAACAGATTGCCTGGGGAGGCTGAAGAACATCAGTCAGCAACGCAGCTCAGAGAAGGGGATTCAAACAAACACTTAGTGAAGAATCACTGTGGGGAATGTTGGGAGAGAGGAAAAGCCTGACAGTGTAACTGTTTGAGGTCCCTACCAGCCCCACGATTATGTCCCTAAACTAGCCCTCCAGAATTTCAGATATTTATTCTGCTCCCAGGCCTGGAATCACAATCGTGTGTGACTATGTTAGGGTGGAGGGGAAAAATCTGTGTGCTTTTTTTCCCAAACCGCTGGTGTGTAGCATAAGATACAACCTACAACGTGACTCCCAATCACTATTTGCTTGCTTTCACATAACTTAAAGATAAATCACAATTTCTCTGCTGATCAACTTCTCTATTACTTTACACTTTATTTTTTTTTTTAAACTTCTAAAAGGTTAAGCAATTGATATGCTGTATGAAATTACACCAATTTTACTGGGTGTAGTACAAATACTTGATTTTTTTTTTTTTTTGTCATCTCCTTTTAAGAGCAACCACTTTTCACTTAAAGCACCTTATAACAGTCTTGGAAACATATTACAGATCCGTTACCTAGGAGGCAAGTTTTAGGCTTCAAAAATATTGTTGCAGATTCCTGACTCTGAGAACTGATTAAAATCTTACGCCACAATTTTTTTTAAGCTGTCACCAAGCTACAAATAACTTGTTTACCAAACATGTGATGAAGACACACCTATTTAAGATATAAAGTCAACCAGAGAGCCACTAAAGCAGAAGGTGAGTTTTGCTATTGTTTTAAAATAATTCAGGTTATGTAAACGTCTGTCTTGATTGTTTCAGAAATTTCACCTCTGACACCAAGCTGACAGGGTAGGACATTTTGGTGTTACTGATTATCACTAATCTCAGCAATCATCCACAATCAACCCTCAGGATCAGAATTATTTCTCTGTATTCTACTTTTCTGTAGTATCAACTAGTTGCATCACTTCATACTCGAATCATTCATCACCTTGTATTTTCTTTTCCCTCCTTAGCGCCTAGCACAGAGATATTGCTGATGCTCCAGCGATGCATAGAATCCACAGGGGATTTTAGCATCTGAACAACCACAAACTCTTCAGGTCATGTTTTAATAACTGTAAGCACACACAAAAGGACATATACATATGTGCCAGCTGGAATTCTCTCTGCTTTAACAGTCACATATTCAGCTGACTGAAATGCTGTATAAGGGTCTAGTATAAAAAAACCACCACACTTGAAATTAGTCAAATTTGAAAAGCTGTTTTAAAACTATTCAGAATTAACACTATTGGCAGCAAAATGTCTAAGTACTTTCTCCCACTGACACATGAGCATTTAGCAATTTACATGGCCATCCATTCCATCATCCTTGCAGACTATTCCACTCATTACTAAAAGCTCTTTAATAATTACCTCAATTTCCCATATAATTAAGTCATAGCCCTGCTCCACAAATACCACAAAAACAGCCAGCCAGGTGCAGCCTGTAAGACAACCAAGGTCCTCGCAAGACCTACTATATTTTACACTTCGACAACTTAGACAGGTGCCCCTATATTAAATGCATACGGCACTACTCCAAACACTTCAGGATATTCATGTGATAAACAGCATGAAGTGTGTTTCGTTCAAGTTCAGGCTAGCAAAACCACAGAAGCTGAACTTCCAAACACTGATGGAAAGTGCCATCCAAAGCTCAGGTTAGTGTGTCTTTTAAGGACATTCAAAATGATCACTTCTCCATGGATGCTCTGAACAGAACACTGAGGTTAGCTAGCACTCCCCTCCTCCAGTGGTTTGGGTTTACCTCTATTTATGCCACATTCGAAGTTGTTTCTGTAACTTGAACATTGTTTCAAGGCATTAGCTGCAGTTTTTAAATACATTTGCCAACTGAAATGAATGCAAAGTAGACCTTTGGGACCTGTCCAAACACACTACTAAGCATATAGATAAAACACTGCTGAAGCATCATTATAATTCTGCAGTGGACTCTATCAGACTTACATCCCTATCCATAAAAATGCAGGGGGATCATTAATGTATCAGTGAATAAATGAATTAAAACAAATTTGCTCCACATACTTTGTTTGTTCAAAATATTATTCAGAAATACTAGGATAAACCTTCATTGAACTGTAAATTTTATGCTCGCAACTTCAATTACATCCACAACTCCAATTACCTCAGATGCCAAACAAACACACTTACACCACAAACTGCAAGTCAGGGACTGTCTGCCTTACAAATGTATTGTTCTTAGTACAATGGCATTCTGGCCTCTACTGCTATAGAGCACAGTAATACTTTTTGTTTTACTCAAGCCTTCCTAAGAGACCAAGAATCATAACAGAACTCAACAAGTACTATGGACCACAAGGGAGATTACTATGTAAAAATGCCAGCTTAACATTTTGCTAAATATACCCATAACAGCATTTGCTGAATTAATCCAATACATCATATCTGTATATTTCATTTGCTAAACTGCTTTTGCACAAGTAAACATCTTCATGGGAGCAGCTAGCTTAACAAGGTGATAATTCATAAATATGTCTTATTTTGATGAGGCTTTGATCTGTCAAGAACTTTTGCACTCTACCTACACTGCACTGCAATTCACTAAGTTGGCAAAGGAAATAAAAACATAGGCATATCTCACAGAAGTTTCCCAATCCTGTGTTTTAATGCAACTTCAAAATAATGATTTTTCTGAACAACTTTTTCCAGATATTTTCCTTTAATGGGTGAAAAAGAGCAAGAAATCAATTCTGTGCAAGTCTGACTCAGCTGCAAATAAATTTATTACATATATTTGCTTACACAAATTTAAATATGCATACTTCTCCTAAATGAAATTTACATCTATAAAGTATGTATTCTTCATGATTTGTGCATTAACAGAGAACGGTAAAAGTCTGACAGCACTCTTTATTGCTACAGGACATAATTTATTTTTTCTAGATACAACATTAACAGAACTTTAATAAAAAAATCATTCCTCTAAATTGCGTAAGTGTGTACACAGAGAAGTGCAAGTCAAGAACCACACTGAAAGAATGAAGTGTCTGAATATGTCAGAGTATAGAGAAAGGACCCAAATGCAGGCTCTAAGCTTTCAAACACATCTTATAAGGCACTCAGCATCACAGTTATAATACCAACTTTTCATGCCTTTTTGTATCTTTGTGCACCATGCAGATTCATATACTATGTAACCGACATATATTCTTCATAACGTGTTAATTCACTAGCAGTATGCAGTCAAGAGTATCTGCAGTGCACAGTGTTCTGCGAGAACTCAGTTCCACCGCTGCCAGCATAGCTGAAGACAAGCAGTTCATGTGAACCTACTGAAGGTGCAACATCAAAACACACAGAGAAAACACCCTCAAGGAGGCTCTCATCCAGGTGCAAAACCCATCCTGTGCAGTGTAACTACAGGTTAATGCATTTTTGCTCGTGTGGAAGAAAACGCACGCTTTTAACTGATGCGCCTTAGCATATCTCCTCTGGTTGCCGTGCCCAAGGCACATCCCTTCTGTCCCTGAATTTGGCGGTGGTTCTGCTCACAGCCGGCTCAGACCACCTTCTCCTCCAGCAAACAGGTGGTGCGAGTGCTTCGTAAGTTGCGTTCAAGCAACGTCAAGTGAGTTGCCTTAGAAGTGAGCCCGCTCACGCCCATTTTTACTTTGAGGCAGGGCAGCGAGAACCCGCCCAGCTGGCAGGGCTGCCCTGGCAGGCACGCTGCGCAGGACGGGGAGCCCACGCCCGCCACCGCCGACAGCTCTCCGGCCACAGCACCACGCAGCAGGGTCCCCCTCCCGCCCCGGGATACCGAGTCACCGTCACACAGTTGTGGGGGATAAAACAACCAGCCCCTCAGCCCCCCCCCCCCAAACTTGGAGCTGAAGGCCCGCCCCCTGCCTGCTCTGTAGCTGCCTGCCCCGCCGGCTTCACCGCGCCCACCAACGGCCTCGACCGCTCAGGCACAGGGACACGCCGGGCCACAACGGCCCGCTGCGCGGGACGGCAGCGGGGCACTCTCGGCCTCTCCCTCGGCCACAGCACTGCCGGGGCCGCCCCCGCAAGCCTGTCCCCGAGGGGAGGCCGCCGCTCTGCGGCCCGAGCGACCGCCCCGGGGGCGGAAGACAGCCGCGGCGAGGCCCTGCCTGGCTCCACTACCGCCCTCCTTCCCCAGGCGGAGGCCGCACGCGGAGCCCCGGGCCTGAGCGGAGGCTGGCCCAGGCTCGACCTGCAGCCGCCGGGACAGGCCGGGCCGGGCCGGCCCCCGCGGGGGCCCGCACGCACCCCTCCCGAGCCCGACTCGCCCGCCTACCCGTAGCCGCCGCCTGCCTGCCCGCGTCCGCCACTGCAGCCAATCCTGTAGCTTTACAGCTACGAGCGCTGGCCAATGCTGGGCCAAGATGAAGAAGTAGTGACCAATCCCGGCTGGGGGGGCGGGAACCGAGGGAGGGGGCTCGCCGCTGCCGCCCACGGAGGGGCGGG